AGCACTTGGCGGCGAGCAGCCCACGCCGAGGGCGCAGCTGAGGCTGCGCAGGCGCGGCGCCACAGCTGGCTGCACTGCCGCGAGCGGGCCAGCCCTGCCCTGTCGCGCAAGCTGCGCCTATCGCGGCAGGCCACCAGCGTCCCGGCGCTGCGCGGTGCCGGCGGCGCCCTACACACCGGCCCCGCAGCGGCTCAGCGGGCAGCGGAGTTTTCTGCGGGGGTGGCAGCACAGCCCGCCACGACAGCGGCCGCGCAGGAGGAGGTGCTGGCCTCCCTGCGGGGTGGCCGGCGCCTCGCGCCAGAGCAGGCAGCAGGCCTGGGGAGCAGCACCGTCACTGAGCAGGAGGTGTGCCGCGCACTGAGGCGCGGCCAGCCTGGCAAGGCGCCGGGGCTGGATGGCATCCCGCCCGACCTGTACCGCCGCTTCCGTGCCCCCTTTGCTCCCATTCTTGCCGGCCTCTTTTCTGCCGTCGCCTCCACCGGCGCCCTGCCCCCGCGCTTTCATGAGGGCCTCATCACCTTCCTCTTCAAGGCGGGCGACCGCTCTGACCCTGCCCATTACCGTCCCATCACCCTGCTGGGCGCTGAGTACCGCATCTACGCCCTGATCCTTGCCCGCCGCCTGGGCCCCTGCCTGCCCCACATCATCGATCCTGAGCAGGCGGCCTTTGTGCCTGGCCGCCAGATCGGCGACAACATTATGGCTCTCCAGCTCCTCCCCCACCTCCTTCGCCGCCTGGGCCGCTCTGCCCTTGCTGTGTTTTGTGACTTCCGCAAGGCTTATGACACCATTGACCGCGGCTTTCTCCTCCGCGCCATGTCTGAGCTGGGCGTGGGGGAGGGCTTCCTCTCTCTGGTCCGGCCCCTCCTCACCGACACTCACGCCCGCGCCATGATCAACGGCTTCATTTCTGCCCCCGCCCTTTTTGAGGCAGGCGTGCGGCAGGGGTGCCCCCTTGCCCCCCTGCTGTACCTTTTCATTGCACAGGCCCTCCTCTCCTTCCTGCGCTCCCGTGGCATCGGCCTTGCCAACCTCCTGCCTGGCGTTGCCCTTACCACCACCACCGGCACTTACGCCGATGACGCCCAGGTGCTGCTGGAGACCCCTTCCCAGATCCCTGCTTTCCTCTCTGCCATGGACACCTTTGCTGCCGCCACTGGGCAGCACCTCAACCACTCCAAAACCCACCTCCTCCCCATTGGTGCTGTGCCCCCTGGCTTCGGGGCTGCACTCCCGCCGCCCGCTGCGCGCCGCCACCTCCCCCTTGCCGCCGCCGTCACTGCGCTGGGCCTGCCTTTTGCCAATGGCGAGCCGCCTGCTGATGCTGTGGCTGCCGCCTGGGCTGGGCTGCTGGGCCGTGTGGAGGCTGTGTATGCCAAGATCTCCACCCTCGGCCTGTCGGTGTTTGGCCGGGGCTTCGCCAGCGCGGCATACGGCGTGCCCAAGCTGCTCTACCACGCCGAGTTCCTGGGCAGCCCGCCCCCCGCCGTGGCCGCCCGCCTTCAGCGCATCACGGCTAAGTTGGTGGACCGGGGCCTTGCGCCGGCTGCCACAACTCGGCTGTTTGCTGGCCTGCACCATGCTGTGCTGTTTGGGCGGCCTGCCGGCGGTGGCTTTGGGGCCTTGCCTTGGCTGCTGCACATCTCTGCCCGCCATGCTCGCTGGGCGGCGCGCCTCCTCACCTCCGCATGGGCCCCTCTGCCCTCCTCCTCCTCTGCAGGGGCGGCGGCCGCCCTCCTTCCTGGCCCCCTGCCACCCTCTTTGGCCGCCGCCCCACCCCCACCTGCCCCCTCGCCTGCCGCCCTGCCGGCGCCTCCCTGGGTTGCCATTGCATGTGAGCTTCTTGGTGGCCTGCCCCCCGCTGGGCTCCTCTTCTGGCCCCTTGACCAGCCCGTGCCTGGCTCCCTTGCCCCTCCCCTCCTTCGCCTCCGCGCCGCCCTCGCCTCGCTGCCCGCGCCCACTGACGTGGCTGCGGAGCCGCTTGCGCCTGGGCCGTGGTGCCTCTCCCTCCCGCTCTGGGGCAACCCGCTGCTCCTCTCCCCCTCGCACCCTGCCGGCCCGGATTCCTCCTTTGCTGACTTTCTGGGTGCAGGGGTGCACTGCCTGCGCCGCTTGCTTGAGGTGGAGCGAGCCGCGCTGGCGGCGCCGACCCAGGCGGCCTACACCGCCGACGTGCGCGGCCCCCTCCTCCGCTCCTCCTACGCCTTCGTTGAGCGGCATGTGGCGCTGGAGCGGGTGGCACAGCTGCTAGCTGCCCTGCCCCTGCCCTGGGTGGCGGCGGCGCGCGCCGCTGCCTCCGCTGCCGCCGCTGGCCTGGGGCAGTCGCTGTGTCCCCGGGCTGTTCTTGCCGGCACCCTCTTGCCGCGCCTGGGCTGGCGCCGCTCTGATGGCCGCCCTGTCCCCCTTGCGGCTCTGACCGTGCGCGCCGCAACGGCCCTCCTGGCTGCCCCTGCGGTTGAGCACCGCGCCGCCACCCGCCTTGCCCCCTTTGCCGCCGCCGCCGCGGCTGCTCCCTCCCCCGCCGCTGGCCCCCTGGCCGAGCTGCAGTCGGCCTTGGCCCGGCTGTGGCGCCTGCCTTGGGAGAATGGCAGGAAGGAGGTGTTCTGGAGGCTGGTATACGATGCCTTGCCCACGGCGGCCCGCATGCACCGGGATGAGCCCTGCCTGTGTGGTGCCTCTGGCCCCCGCCCTGACCGCCACCACCACTTCTGGGCCTGCCCTGTGGCCTGCGCTGTCGTTGCCGCTGTCCATGCGGCCCTGACTGCCG